CCTGATAGCCTGGGCTATTGGCAGCCTGTGTGATAGCAGGCACAACTTTAGCAAGCTTTTGAATGTCTCCCTTATTGATGGTCCTATTATTCAGGCATCTCTTGATCAGAAAACGTTGTCCAACATGAAATTTTCTGATGCTAAAGGTAATTGTGCTGCTTTCTCTGCAGGTTTTTCTTGTATATTTGGGATAAGCTCTTTAAAGAATTATAGACAGAGCCTCTGTAGCTGAAGCATGGAAGTTAAGTAGCATCAAAATGGCTTCTCTTTATTCATCAATTCTGTCTTCTCTCCCTGCAGGAGGCTGGGAAGGATCTGCCACCTTCAAGATGACCTTTACAGCTGGGGGTGCTATTGAGTTTGGGCAGCGTATGCTGCAGGTGGCATCCCAAGGTAGGGGAGCTTAATGCTCTCTGCTGTTTGGCTTTGTGGTTTCAGGAGGCCTTGCCTTAATCTTACAGCAAGGGCAGTTTGAAGCTGGGGCAAGTTGGATTCCAGTCTTTGTGAATCTCAGGCTGTATCTGGAGCTGACTTGCCTTAAAACAACACCTTTTTCACGTCCAGCAGGCAGTGGGTTTGTTGGCATTGGAACTTGGTTTTGTTTTGTTTTCTTTGGTTTTCAGATAAGGACTCTTTAAGTCTGTTGTAGGCCTTGGCTTGTGATCGGTGTTTTGCTGAAGTGAACTTATCTTTCCTTCTCCAGCCTCCAGAGGTGAAGTCCCCAGCGGAGCTTATGGCTATTCCTATATGCCAAACGGATCCTATGCTTTCGCACCACCTGTGGCCAACGGGGGCTATCCGTACCCACCGCCTCCCCCTGGTGAGCCTGGGAGTTGCAGACGAGGATACTTGGAGCTGGCAAGATTTACAACAGCTAAAAAGGGAGAGAAATAGAAATGTTGCATTATCTTTGACGTTGGATCGGATGCCTTGTGCAGCTTTTGCTTCTGAGCTTAAGGATATTTACCTTTAGCTTGCTTTGGCTGCACGTTGTGACTCCACCCGGGGTGGTTTAAGTCCTTTATCACGTTGTCTCCTTTCCTAACAGAGTTTTATCCTGCTCCCCCTATGGGAGGTGCAGACATGGGTTACATGCATCTGCCGCCCCCGCCGTACCCTGGGCCCATGGAGCCGCCCTCTGGTGGTCCAGATCTGCCTTCCACTCCTGCAGGTAAGAAATATCTTTGAGGGAATCAGCTCACAGCTGCTTCATGGTGCCTGCAGCAGAAGTTGGCAGACGTTCTCTCTCTGCGCAAAACTTGGTGTCAAATTATTGCTTGTGAGATTGAGAACGTGGAGCATCAATGTTATTGCTCAGAAAAGTCAGAATTTTGTTCCCTTGTTGGAGTTTCATATCTGTAATGTCCTTGGGAACATGAAGTCGACTTAGAAGCTCCAGTTAAGTTAAAATTGTTTGGGAAGGAGCAGTTAGGGAGCTCCTCTAACCTCCAGCTCAGTCTGAAGGCCGGCCTGGTGCTCTCAAGAGCAAACACCATCTGCAGATGCATTGTTTCCGTTGTAGCTGTTTTGTAGCTGGAGCTTGGATAAGGCAGTGCTTTATTTGCAGCAGCTAATGGCCAGGAGGATGTGAAATTGTGAATATAAAAATTCCCCGTGCGCCACCAAATTTGTCTCTTCTGTTTTTTCTGTGACAGCTGAAGCAAAGGCTGCTGAAGCTGCTGCCAGTGCTTACTACAACCCAGTAAACCCACACAACGTCTACATGCCCACGGTACGTGCTGGAATCGAGTTTCCATAGGGATTTCTTACTTGGGAGAGAATCAGAATTGTGTACAAGTTACAAAGGCTTACAGCTGCCATGCTGTGTTAGCAGTTCTGCTCAGTGACACAGCAAAGTGTGTCTGAATTGATCTGTTGCATGTTTTGTTTGGTTTTCCTTAGCCACAAATTGATGTGTTTTTACTGTCTTTCCTTCAGGACCAGCCACCCCCTCCTCCATACTTCCCACCAGAGGACAAGAAAAACCAATAAGCTACCACAGAACTCCTCCACAACTCGTTGCTTTCTTACTTCCCACTTTGGCTGAATCCTGGGGCATGGTCCATAGCACTGAGGAGTAGAGCCTTACCTCAAGGCACGTAGCTTTCCTGGACTTTAGTGGTAGATATGAGCAGGGCAAAGGGAGATCTCAGCAGCCTGGCTTACCTCCAAGAGCTCTGAGGGTTTGCAGTCCTACCACAGTTTTCCCTTCTCCCTTTGCACACCAACACTAGATCTCAAGGTTCTCTTTCTGATAGTTTCCTTTATCTCTGTTTCTTCTGATACTTAAATTATACCTCTTTAGAATGAGCTGCTGTTGCAGAGTGATAATTAACAAGCTCATCACATGGAAACAAGGCGCCTGGGGAGTCTTGTCTTTACTTTGGGGTTCTGTGGGCACAGAGATGTCTCTAGATAGCCCTCTAAACCTCTAGTATCAAACCCAACTTCTTCCTCTGTTACTGAAAAAGGGCTTCAGTGGGAACCTTTGGAATCTCAGAGAAAATAAGTGTCCATCAGATTATGCAGATATCTGATAAACTTTCTTTAAAAGCCGAGCTGTTCCTAACTGTCACAACGAATCTGATAGCCCTCCAGATTGTTCTGCTCTGCACTGTGATGATGCTGACAAGCTTCCTTTTTTGAACAAAGCTGCCCTTTGCAGGGCTGATCAGCAGCATCTGACTGCTTACAGATCACATGGGAACACTCATTCTCACTTATCTCTTTTTTCCATTCCACTACGTGGGCTTGAGATCACAAAGCCCTGAATATTATCCTTATAGTCATTAATGCACTTTTTTTCCCCCCTGTAACACAAGTTACACGTTGGCCAGTGAAGTATCTTACTGCTGTGATTTAACTGGTGAATTAGTCGCTCATGGGAAGAAAATAGTTGCTTCTGCCCTGGAAACACTTGAGAGAATGTATGAAAAGGTGAAGTGAGTTGTGAGGTGTAACTGAGCTGTGCAGCTGGATGTTGTTTAATGCTGTCAGTGTTCCTGGATCAGCTGTGAGTTTGTTTGAATGTCAGCGCTTTGCACTGAAGGTTCAGGCATTTTCCTTCCATGACATTCATCTCATTTGCAAAGTCTGTCGTGCTCAGAACCTCTGCAGCACTGATCAGTGACCAGGCTGTGAAACTGCATGGTACAAAGCTTTGCATCAATCAGATTTTACTGACTTCTGACTGTTTGTGAGGGCGAAGATCCGTCCCAGTAAGTGTGAAGAAAGATCATGTGCTAGGGAGCTGCTGAGACTTGCTGCATGCAGCCTGCTTGGAGAGAAAAAGGTCCACCTCCTGTTTTCTGTTTGTCTGAGTTTAGGTGATTAATCAAATCGCTGCTCTCTGTGCACTGACTTTTCTAGAATTGCTACTGCAGTGATGTAAAGAAATGGTTATTTTAAATATGCATATATATTATATATATATATTTATTTTGAAAATGTTTGATTAATATATTAATGTGAAATGACTTCCGAATGCAGATTTGTTTTGCCAAGACTGAAGTAAAGCGAAACCAGCTCGAAACGGAACGTTGTGTGTTTGTGGATGGGAAGGGGCATTTCTCTTGGCTGAGGCTCGCTGGTGAAATGAGAGTAAAGTATTAAATCTTCACAGATGCCCATTTTTCCAATTCCTGTTAGAAACTGGTGAGGCAGCTGCTCAGCATTGTACCCCAATTTGTTTATTTCCAGACCGGTTGTCTTTGTAAGAGCTCCTTGTAATCTATTGCTGGAGAAAGGAGTCAAGGGACACCTTCCAAGTTCTGCTCTCAGCGTTGTTTGTCCTCCCACATAACTGTATTAATGAATTTTTGTGCTGGCCCATCAACTCGGGCTTGATTTCTTTAGCAAGAAGTGGGTGGAGAAGGGAAACATGAAGACAGAAGACGTTACAGCCCAGTGAGAGCAATGCAATCCCTGTTCTGTGAATTAAAATACTTCAGCGCTGGTTTTCTTGTATCTCATCAGCTCAGCATAAGAAGCTGCAGGAAGCTTGGGACACCACGGCTCCTGCTTTCAAAAGGGCTCTTTCCCATTTACACTCTTCTAGGATTAATGTCTGTAAGTAAGCACACTTTGTGTGACGCTCCCAAGTCTTACAGTACAGCTCTCATACAAGCAGCACAAACATCTGAGCGTTGGCTTGGTTCTTTTTACTTCTGATATCCTTCCACTACTAAGTGTGCTCCAGGGAAGAAAGTTTTCTGTAATTACTTTCATGGCAGCTCGGCTCCATGCTTCAAGCTGAATCTCTCTTCTGCTGGCGTGGGCAAGCAGTAAAGTCAGCAGTGAAGATGTAGTGTTTGCTGCCTTAAAAAAAATAAAGAAAAATATTTGGGGTGAATTAGGCCGGAAGAAATGAAATATTCCTGTTCTTAACGTGGATTTTAGTGAGCTAAATCAGTGGCTTTTGAGCTGAGAGCCTTTTACAACGGCTTCTTAATGGATGTTGCTGTCCCTCCATGCTGTGAGAAGGGGAGAAGGAGCAGGTCAGAAATGATGAGACCTGTGGTGTGGTGTTACACCGTGGCACAGAACGGCAGGGCGTGGGCAGCAGTTCGTGTTGGATCCAGCAAACCTTTGGACAAACAGATTTCCAGCTGATGTGTGCAGTCCTGTCTCTGTGCTGTGACTCTTGGTGCCTGCTTCCCTGCTCCGAGACGGGGCTGTTTTCCCCTCTTCGCTGGGCTGTGGTGAAATGAGGTATTTCCAAAGCTCTCTGAGATGTTGTGCAAAAGCAGTTACTGCAGGAGCTGCTCACAGACGTCCTATGGCAGGACCTGAAAGTCCTGTTGAAATCCTTTGGGCTGGGGAAGGTGTTTGCAGGGCTTGTGCCTACCTGCTCAGGAATGCCTGCAGCCTGAGGAAGGGGCTGAGCCCTCCTCACCACACCGTTCTGCTGAGTGAGACCGAGTGATAAATGTTGGCCTTTCTATTTCTTTCCCCTTATTATTATTTGTTGTGTGTTGGTTTGGAACGCCAGGCCACGCGAGGTGAGGAAGTTAATTTTAGACGAGGGTTTTCTCCACAGTCAGGCTTGCCATTACTCAGCCGTCTGCAAACCCTGGGTGAGTCAGCTGGAAATGCTGCTCTCTCCTGAGCCTGAGCTGGAAACGTATTGCAGCACCCACTGTACTCAGAGCTGTCTGTGCTGTCATGCTCACTGCTGTGTCCTGCCTGCCCCAGGACGACGGACTGCTGACAGGTGGATCCTGGAGCAAAAGGTATTGATTTGCTTTGTGCTGTTGAAGCTGGGCTGTGAGCCTGGCTCAGCAAATGCTGCCTATCTACATTTTGTCTTTGCCTCGCTCAGGTCTCGTCTCTCCAGACCCAGGGCAGGCAGCATCGGGGGGTCTGGGGCAGCAGGAAGCTGCAGGGGGGGCTGGGCCCACACTGCCCTCATTGTGAAAGCTCCTTCCACCCCATTCCCACTCCCCTCACTGCCCATTTGCGGCGTGGTTTGCCAAACCATCACAGGGTTTGCGCAGTCATCGGAGCCGGGGTTTAAAAGGAGAAGTGAGGGAGGGATGTGTGTTGAAATCAGTTTTTTGATCGTTTGCCCGTTTCTGCTCAGCTTCAGATAAGGACAGGCGGTGGCTTCAGGATTATCAGGTGCAGAGGTAGGAAGATCAGCAGTGCTTTGTGCTCACGGGTCCCTCTGTGCCAGGTTCTCATTTGGAGATGAGATAAATCTTGAAGGCTGCGATGCCTCTTGCTGTCCATTGCCCTGTTAGCTCTGGTACCCCAAAGCAGCAGCTGTAACCCCTATTATTAACTATGGACTCAATTTGTTCCAGGGCAGCCTGTAGCCTTATGTAGCCCTATGGCCTATAGAGGAAGAGGTTTTTCCTTCAGGGTGAATTATTTTTAAAGGGGATGGAAGGGTTTGCTCTGTATTGTGCATATCTGTGGTGCGTGCCCCTGGCTGTGCTCGTGGGGGTGGACTGGTGTGCGGGGGGAGCTGGTTTGGGCAGCACTGATTGCTGTCAGTGACCTTTGGGAGCAGGGGAGTGCAAGGTCCTGCAGATTGCCTGCAGGTGGGGAGCATTCAGCTCCATGGGGTTATCCCTGCTAAGCAGAAAGCTGAGGTACTTCTGGAAGCTGCTCTTGGTGCTGGGGTGGATGGTGTTGCTCTGTCCTTATTAACTTTCTGCTGGTGAGAAGCAGCAGAGGTGCGAGCAGCTTGGCGGTGCTGTGCCTGCTGTGCTTTTATCTCTGCAGTTGCTCTTTGCTATGACAGATTTTGCTTTTGCAACCAAAACCAAACTCAGAGACGAAAGCATTTGTTTCCCAGCAGCACCGTACGTCATCACATCTCTGCTTTATTCTGATAAGAACAGCATGCCGTGCTGATGTCCCACGTCAGTGCTCAGCATCGCTGTCTGTAGGGCTGGGCTGGGCCTCCTCCTCTGTGTGTCCCATCTGCTGCTTGCCCAAGGTGAAGGGAACACTAATCCAGGATTCCTATGGGCTGAGCCCAGCACTGAGCAGCACAAAGAGCAGCACGTGGCAGCCCCAGAGTGGGGAGCAGAGAGGATGTGATGCTGAGCTCAGCCTGGTCGATGTTCTGATAGGGATCGGAGGGAAGGGCGCTGCTGGTGCAAAAGTCTGCATGCTGCAATCAAATGAAGTGTTTACATGGACGAAGGCCATCAGCAGCCCTGGGTTCCCACTCATTTCCTGCTCTTTTGCTCAATGAGCTGCGATGCCTGGAAAACCCCATGGCTGTCCCCATCCATGTGTGCAGTGACTGCATCAGTTCCCAGCCCAAACTTGCTCGGGGTGCCGCAGGGTATCTGTGTGCTGCAGTTTCTCACCCCACAGCTTTGGGGCCGTGCTGCATATCCCATTATATCCCATTATATGCCATACCCAGTCATGGAGTTGACTTCTGCTCTCTGTGGGGTCCCCCTCCCATGCTCATGAAGTACTCCACAGAGCAGCCCAGGTCCTCCATGCCACTGCTGCGTGTCCTCCTCACCTCCAATGATTTTTGCCTTCTGTGACAGCTTTTGCCCACTCTCTCCCAACCCCTCGCTCACAATTAATGACTGAATTTGCATGCGATGCCTTCCCTTCACCCCACTCCTGCACCACAGAGCTGTGGGTGCTGCATGCTGCAACTTCTACGCTTCCGTTCTGCTCCAGTAGCCGTGATGCGATAGGGGCTGTGGTTTCCTCTGAGCACATGATCATGGGGGGGCAGGCAGAGCAGTGCTGGGGTGACTGCTCAGCCCAGCCCCAGGATGGCAGCTGCTGGTGGAGCACCTATGGGGAGCCTCCCTAGGGAGGAAGAGAACCCCGAGGTAGGTGCTGTGGGATGGGGATGGCGTTCGGGGCGAGGTGGCTGTGGGAGTGCAGGGTGCAGGGCTGGCAGATGTATGGTGGAAATGTGCTCAGGTGGAGAAATGGGGTGAGGAGCGTGTGGCCATAGCGGGCTGGGGCTGGAGCCAAGGGAGAAGTAGGACTGAATGCCCTCAAAACAACAAACTTCCTGCTGCCAGCTCAGCACCTGTTATCCACATAAGCAGGAGCAGCTCCCGTGTTAACCTGCAGTGGTGGTGGAGCAGAACCCAGCACAGATGGTCAGGGGATTATGGCAGCCCTAGATTTGCCGTAAGCAAACAGTGATGATCCAGTGGGTGTTTTTCTTTTCCCACTAGGAGGATCCCAAGGTCATTCCGGGTCTTGGGTTGGGCTCATCCATCCCCCTGAACACCCCAGCTCAATCTGTGTTCGTGCTCAGCACAGAAAGGACCAAATGAGTTTCAAACATTTCCAAAATATGAGTATGGGGTTTTGTTGTTGTTTTGTTTGTTTTTGAGTCACCCCACTGCACCCCGAGGGGCTCAAACACTGCGAGCTGCCCCAGATGGCACACAGCACCACTGGGGTCGCCATCCCCAGGTGAAGATAGGCGGAAGGAAAATGGTTTTCATTTCATTGCCTTAAGTGCCATTGGGGTTTAATGGCACTTCTGGGACAAGCCCACCCTGTCCCCTCTACCCACCATCACTGTGCCCCCAGACCTGATGGGAAATCCTTCCTTCCCCTCTTGTTTCTCCAGATGGATCTCTCACACCGCTTCTCCAAGCAGGAGGTACGAGCACGTGGGTTCCTGTGGGTTCCTGTGGGTTCCCCATCACTGGGGCCATCGGGGGGGGGGGGGGGGGGGAGAGCCCCTTTGGGTGCAGGAGGAGCACCCTGCTGTCAGCAACCCCTGGGTGCACTGGAGGGGGAGGGCAAGCAAAGATAAGGGAGGCCGCTGTAAAGGCAGTGATGTGATGGCACTGTCCCCACAGCTGGCCCTGCTCTACCAGGAGGTGCTTTACACCATCCGGCACCGTCTGGGCAAACCGCAGCCCCAACACGTTGCTGACAGCCAGGAGCTCTGTGCCTATGTGCAGAAGGTGGGTGCTTCTCCATGGGACCCTCAGTAGGCAATTCCTAAAGACCCCACAGGGTTGGGGATGGCACCGGGGCGCTCAGAAGGCTCTCCCTGATGAGCTCTCCCAGCCTTCCTGCTGCTCCAGCTGGAAAGTCCTTGGCTGCCCTCCAGCCACCATCAGCAGGGCCACATCCGTTACCAGCCCTAATGTTTGTAACAGGCTTTTGGCATGGATGCAGAGGAGCACAGGACCATCATGCAGCAGGTCCAGGAGCTGGAGGTACGGAGCAGGGCGGGCTTTGTGCTGGGGTGCTGCTGGATTTGGGTGTTTGGGTTTGGAATGCCCCAGGTCTGCGCAGGGACTGAGCTTGTTTGTGACAGGGGGCACTGAACCGTTTCCTGGGGTCAGTGACACCCAGCTGAGCACGCAGCAGCATCACCTCCTGGGGTGCATCCAGCAGCAAACACTGTGGCTGCTTTTCCCTTCTGTTAAGCAATCTTTTCTCTCTGCCAGAGCCCAATTTTTTGTCTGAAAGCAACCGTGAAAGAAGCCAAAGGGATTTTGGGTAAAGACGTCAGCGGTAAGCAGAGCTGGGTGGATGGCTTTGCAGAAAGGGTACAGCTGCTGCTCTCAGTGGGGACAGCACTGCTGGCTCTCGCAGGGTACAGCGACCCGTACTGCCTGCTGGGCATCGAGTCCAAGAGCCAGGAGCCAGCCCACCCCAACAGCAAGAGGAGGCTGAAGGCTGTGGTCAAGGACCTCATCCCTGAAGACCAGATCCATCGCACCCAAATCATCAGCCAGACCCTCAACCCGGTGTGGGATGAGACGTTTATCCTGTAATCTGCCACCCGTTCCTCCCATTGCTACTAAGGGGTCTCAGGGCTCTGAGGCTGTGTGGGGTGGGGTCTCCATTTCCACATCTCTGTCTCTCCATCTCTGCTTCCACCTCATCTCCATCTGCATCTCTATCTCCACCTCCATCTATCTTCACTTCCACCTCTGTCTATTTCCGCTTCCATCCCCACCTCTCAAAGGCCGCTGTCCTGACGTGTGCTGCTAACCATTCCTTCCAGGGAGTTTGAAGACATGGAAACAGCCAGCTTCTACTTGGACATGTGGTGAGTACAGCTGGAGGAGGGTTCTGCCTCCCAGCATGGGGCTGGGAGGGTCAGTGGGGTGACCCTCAGATCTGCACACATTTCCAAGCACAAAAATCCCCTTGGACTCCATTTCCCCTTGGAATGTTCTCTGATCACATGAATTCCTTTCCCTTGCTGCTTCTGCTCCCAGGGACTCAGACACGGTGGAATCAGTGCGGCACAAGCTGGGTGAGCTGACGGACCTCCATGGCCTCAAACGGTGCGTGCTGCCACGTGGGGCTGTGGGCATCGTGTGTTTGCTCCCTGGGTTCACTAAATGTCCTTGGAGGAAGGGAGGGAGGGCAGTAGTTCTCTGCTGTCTCCATATTGCCTTGCTTTGTCCGGATCACAGCCGGTTGGTGGCTGCGTGGATCCCTTCATCCTCTTGCTCCTGCCTTTCAGGATCTTTAAGGATGCTCGGAAGGACAAAGGGCAGGATGACTTCCTGGGGAATGTGGTCCTCCGTCTAAAGGTGAGCCCTGGATGTGAGCGAAGGCTGGGGAGGTGATGTGGCAGCATGGCAGCACAGCTCCCAGGAGCGATGCCGAGTCCCCAGCACAGTGGATCAGCTCCCTGCACCTCATCTCTGCATACACAGGACCTGCACTGCTGGGATGACCGGTGGTACCAACTGGAGCCGCGCACAGAGACGTACCCCAACCGGGGCCAATGTCACCTGCAGTTCCTGCTGACCCACAAGAAGGTAGGAGCGAGAGAACCATCGCCTCGGCAGGAAGGGTCGCCCACTGATCCCCATCCTCTGTGTCCCATCTCTGGGACTGGAGGCATTGACACACTTCACACTTCGACTTGAGTTCAGACGGGGGTCTCCAACCCCACGTTGTTTGCGTCCCCATGTTCCCAGCTGTGTTCCCAGCTCTCCAACTGCTTGGGCAGGGGATGGTTATTGCTCACGTGCTTTGCATGCCTTGTCTCATTCCAGAGGGCCACCATCTGCAGCCGGACGCAGCCGAGCTACACCGTGCACCGCCACCTCCTGCAGCAGCTGGTGTCTCATGAGATCCTGCAGCACCAGGTGCCGTAAGGAGAGAGGAGCAGCAGGGTTGGGATGGGGGATGATGATCTTGATGGCTGCCACATTGGCATGTTGCACCGTGATGGAGTCAGGAGACGCCTGGCCATGACTGGGGCCCCATGAACAACATTCCCAGCCTACTGCAGAGTTCCTGACCCAGCTGTGCATCCTGGCAGGCCGGCAGCACCGCCTGGGATGGGGAGCTGAGCCCACATGCCAGCACTGTGCTGTACCTGCATGCCACACAAAAGGATCTCTCTGACTTCCACCAGGTCATGGCGTGAGTATTCCATCTCCATTTCCCCATTCTGGCTGTAACAGCCTTGGTGAGCACCCTGTGCCACCCCCTTGGGGCTCACCTCAACCTCTCCCCAAATCCCCAGGCAGTGGCTGGCGTACAGCAAGCTGTACCAGAGCCTGGAGTTCAACAGCAGCTGCCTGCTGCACCAGATCACCAGCATCGAGTACCAGTGGATGCAGGAGCGCCTGCGGCCGGAGCAGGTGGGACACGGGGAGGTGTGACCTCACATCTCCTGCTGGCTGCATTTCCCTCTAGGGAAGGGCAGGAACTTGTGGGGTGTGGGGCTGCCCAGAGACCTCAGGGATGGGCTGCAGGGCATTACTGGTGGGAAACAGTTATGGGACCGGGACAGACCAGGGAATTTGTTCCCCATCACAGAGAAGCTGCTGCTATCCAACCATGCCTAGGTCCCAAGCCCAATGACTATTAAATCTGACCCAGTTCCTGCTGCCTCTCCATGGCCTGTTTTCCCAGGGCATCTGAATCCCGTGCTGAGATTTGGAACGTTTCACGCATAGCAATGAGCTTTCAGCACAAAACTCAGCTCAGCCCCTCTGGGGAGCAGTTCCTGGGGGCTTCAGGAAAGGAGCAAGAGCCTTGGGCTCTCTTCTATGAGGCCCAACAGTCCCAGCACCGTGCACAACAGCATGTTCCCTTCCATCCCCCAGAAAGCAGAGCTGGCAGAGTCCTTCCAGTCCTTGCTGACCTATGGGGTGTCCCTCATCCGGAGGTATCGCATCATCTTCCCCCTCTCTGTCCCGAGGTCCACAGAGAGGCTGCAGTCCCTGCTCCGGTGAGTCTGGTTGTTGGGAGAACTGTTTGTGTAGGGCCTCCTGGGGAAGAGGTGTTGTCTTGGAGGGGCTGGTGATGGGTTTTGTCAACGGTTCTCCCTTTTGCAGGGTCCTGGTCCAGATGTGCAAGATGAAAGCTTTCAGAGAGCTGTGCACACTCAGCCCTGATCTCCCCAAAATGGTTTCTGAGGCGCTCAAGGTAGTGGAGCCTCCTGTCCACCCCCTACCCCTACCTGGTTTCCTGCAATGCCCCACGGCTGGCTTGGTGCTGCAGCTTCAGTGCTGTCACACTGCGGCTCCTCTCTTGCAGTCAGGCACGACGGAATGGTTCCACATGAAGAAGCTGCACCTCCAGCCCATGGTGAAGGTCAGTTCCCACCTCTGCTACTCCAAAGCGATGGTGCTCAGACCAGCCCTACAAACTCAGTGTTCCACGTGTGGATCCAAGGATAGCTTGCTGCCTCACAAGGACAGATCATAGAAATGAATCCGTTTCAAATGGAGGTCAGGTCACTTCAGTATCGCTGAGCATCCCAAATGAGCTGTTCCTTCTTTTTCAGACCATGGAGGAAAACAGCAAAGCCTTGGCCAAACTCCTTTTGGAGGTGATAGGAGATCTCCAGCAATGCCACAAAATCTGGAATAATTTCTTCATCAGGTGGGGTGTGGAGCTCAAACCCCTCCTCAACCACCTTCCACAGGACCAAGAGCAATGAGGCAGTTTGATGCTTCATTCCCTGGTCCTTGGGTTCCACCTGCAAAAGGAGATCATTGAGCGGTCCCAGTTCTGTCCTGCAGTGCTCTCCTCTCTCTAATGGAATAGGATGGGCTGGGTTTGCTGGGTTGGGACTGGCTCCTGATTCTGTTTCTTTCTTTGTAGCACCTTGAAGCTGAATCTCTTCTCCATCACCTACTTGGAGCTGGAGAGCCTGGTGAGTGATCCTGTGGCTGCTCTGCACTCCTGGGGCTGAGGTCTAAAGCCTGGCTGAGATTTTTAGGTAGCCTTCAGGCTTGGCTTCTTGTTGCAAGCCTGGGAAGAAAGCAAGCTGTAGAAATTCCATCCTCCCCTGCACTCCCCTAGAATCACCATCATTATGTGTCAATTTGCCTGACCCAAAAGATCTCCTCAAATGCCACATGAAAAGGAGTGCCATGAGCTGCCCCTCTCCCCATGGCTTCAGACAGCCCATGCCTTCCCAGCTGGACCCCTCTAACCCTGTGGCCCATGAGCTGCCCTTCTCCCCATTGTCGCTGCCAGGTTGCAGAGCACGTCCAGGAGCAGCTGCGCGAGGTCGACGCTGGCATGTCCAAACCCACAGCTGAAAGCCTTTTCCAGCTCTACCTGAACCTGCAGGAGCTCTACAAGATGAAGGACTTCCTCCCGAAGAGGTATCAGCCTGCCAGAGGGGTGGTGCTGGAATGGGGCACTGAGCAGTCAGTGTTGGAAGAACACCAAAGCCTTCGCTCTCACTCCACCCCTAATTCCACCCCAGAGCAGGCCTGGTGTTGGAGTGAGCATCATCAGAAGAGTTTCAGGCTTGGACTCGATGATCCTTATTGGGATCCTTAGTTGGACTTGATGGCCCCCTTCCAACTACATTCTATGATTTTTATGCTCATTTCTCAGTGGGTTTTGATGGGGGCATCCAAAAGGGGAGTCTTCTCCTTATTCTGTTTCTTGTGTATGAGATGATGGAGGGTTGGAAGCCCCATGCCATCACCATGCACTGCGAGAAGCTGGTTTCTCAGCTGGTTTCTCCATCCACAGAGATGGGCCTTTGGCTCTGAGTGATTTCCACCAGTGGTTCAAGGAAGCTGTGCCTCAGTGGCTGCAGAAGGCCTACAGCATTGCACTGGAGAGAGCACAGAGGGCTGTGCAGATGGACCAGGTAACCCAGGAGGAGAAATCTCCCCCAGCATTTGGGGTCCCACCAGCTCCCTCACACACCCCCAGTGGGTTCTTTTTCCCATGGCTCTTTACTCCTCTGTGGTCCTTACCTCCATGCCTGTTTCATGGCACTGATGCCACCACGGAGGTCCCTCTTGCAGCCTGGTTTCTCTCCCTGTGATTTGGCTTATGCTATCAGCTGGTTCTTCTGGCCTTCAGAAAGAGGGAAGGCAGCTATGGGGGCAGGGGCTCCTCACCCTGTTCTTCACTGCTGTTCAACACTGGGATGGAGAATGAGGGAAGGCCTGGGGCGCTGCATTCCCATCTCCTCCATTCCCCAGAGCGGTCAGGTGATGGCACAGATTGAGGGTGGGTGTAGGAAAGATCTGGTGATGGTCCTAAAACAAAGGGAGCAGCTCTCCAGTCGGGGATGACTGGGTTGGTTTTGCTCCGTGCCCTCCCAGCTGACGCCCTTCGGGGAGCACAACAAGCACAGCACGTCCACTGTTGACCTGTCCACCTGCTACGCCCAGATCGTGAAGACCTGGCAGCAGCTCAACTGGCCGGATCCTGAGGAAGCCTTCATGATCATGGTGAAACTCGTGGAGGTTTGTGCTCTTGGGACTGGTCGAGCAAACACAAGCAGCAGAAGTTTCCTCTTACTTTTAGAGTCAGGTCCCAACGAATGGGGCCAGTGTCCCATGCCAACATAGTGGGTTTCTCCGTGCTGCCCTGCTGGTGTCACTTGTTCCTTCTCAACCATGCAGGATATGTGCAAAATCGCCCTGATGTATTGCCGGCTCATCAAGGAGAGGGCTGAGGCTCTGTCACTGAGCAAGCAGAACGAGGGTGAAGCAGCCAACAGGGTTGGTACTGGGGCAGGACACAGGGCTTAGGGGGAGGCAAGGTTTGGCCGTTGTTCCTGAGCAGCTGAGCAGCCAGTATCCTGGGTCTGGCTTTCATGGGGATCAGCTGGACCTGATGGCTGTCATCGTGGAAAATCAGGAGGGAAAACGTGTGGGTTTGGGGAGAGGGGAGGAGGGGAATGATGGTAGGGATGAGGGTGGGGATGAAGATGGGAAAGAGGATGGAGATGTGGGTGAGAATGAGAACGGGATGAAAATGATGGGGATAAGAATGAGGATGGGAATGATGAGGGTGGAATTAGGGTAGGGATGAGAGTGGGAGGGATGATAGAGACGAGGATGAAAATGGGGTTGAGGTTGGAGCCAGAGGGATAACTTGAGTAATGACCTTCCTCTCCAGCTCTGCATCGTGGTGAACAACATCAAGCAGCTGCGGCTGCTCATCCTGAAGCTGCCATTGCAGCTGGACTGGGCCCAGCTGGAGCGGCGCATGGGGGCTGTCATTGACCAGCAGCAGATCCAGCACACGCTGCACCATCAGCTCGACAGCACCGTCTGCTGTCTGGACCATGAGGTTCAGGACGTGGTGCAAGCCCTGGCCACCAAGGTGAGCACCTGCCGCAGGTTGCCCTGCGCCTGACCTGAAGTGAGGAAGTTTAACCCAAGGGGATGGAAATAAACCTCATTGTCTCTGTGTGCTTTTTCTCCTGGCAGCTGGAAGCGGGCATTGCCAGGCACATTCAAGAGCTGTCAGCCCCCAGCAATGCTCAGGAGCCTGAGGATGTAAGCACCTGGCCCAACCCCTCTGCTGTGCCCTGCTGAATGCAGCCCCCCCCCCGTGCCCACCCCAATGCCTCTCTCCTGCTATGCAGTCCATCCTCCCTCTCATGAAGTTCCTGGAGTCAGAGCTGCAGTACCTCAACGAGCACCTGGTCCAGGAGAACTTCAAAAGGTGACCCCTGTGAGGGGTCCTTGGTGTGGGGCTGTGGGGCTGAGCTCAGTGGGGTGAGCTTGGTTACCTGTGTGTGCTCTGTATATCCCCCAGCTCACTGCCCCCTCCTTTGCCCCGCAGCCTCCTTGCTCTGCTCTGGCATCACACCTTGGCCGTGCTGACAGCGGCTGCTGGCCCACAGGTGCCCTCGGTGCAGCACTGCAGGAAGCTGCACTGTGCCCTGAAGGTACCTGGGGGGCTGGGGGAGGGTTCCTGCGTGGGCACCTGGTTGCTGCTAACAGCATTTTCCTCCTCAGAGCCTGGAGCTGTGCTTCCATGCTGAGGGCTGCGGGCTGCCTCTGGACACCCTGCACAGCACTGCCTTCCTGGTATGGTGCTGGGGGGGGCCAGGATGTCCTTTGGGTGTTCTATGGAGAGGGGTGTCCCCAAGGCTGCAGACCCTGATAGTCACCCCTTATCCTCTCTGCAGTCACTGGAGAGCCGCCTGGCCCTCTGCTCCTCCACCAGCCGCAAGCTCATCCAGAAGTACTTCAGCAACAGGATCCAAGAGCAGGTGGGAGTCAGGGCCCCCCACACAGCCTGCCCACGGCCTCCCTCAGTCCTTGCCCTGTCAGCAGTGGTTTTATCCCAGTGCTGGGCTCTGTGGGACCTGGGAGGATGCCTCCAGGCCCCCATAACGCTCCCTCTACCATGCCGTGCAGCTGGGCATCAGCTCAGAGAAGTACGGAGCTGTGACCATCAAAGCGCTGTACCGCCCTTCGGAGCAGAAGCTGCGCGTGGAGGTGCTCAATGCTGCCAACCTCATCCCCTTGGACTCCAACGGTGAGAGCACAGGGCTGCAACCCAGGGTCTGCTGAGGGAAGAAGGGGATTGTTTCCCTGTATGGAGTCACCCTGGGCCAGGCGGGGATGTCTCAGCCCCGTTGCAGGGCCGGGTGCTCTGGATGATGCCCAGGATGCCCCATAAACAGAGGGCTGATGGCTGCACCCTGCCAGGCTCCAGTGACCCCTTCGTGCAGCTCACCCTGGAGCCCCGGCATGAGTTTCCCGAGGTGGTGGCCCGCAGCACCCAGTGCAAGAGGAATGAGCTGCACCCCCTCTTCGATGAAGCCTTCGAGTTGTATGTAGAGCTCAGCACCCAGCAGCCCCCCACCTCCCCATCCCTACCCCACAGACGTGAGTCCTGCGGTGGGTTTTCACCTCCTGTCCCCTCTCCTTGGGCTGACGCTGGGGAAAGAGGTTGACACACAGCAGGGGAAATTGGGGTGTCCTATGGGCTTTCACCCCACAGCTCCAAAATGGGGGGAATGAATGACGGGATGAGATGTCCCCGTGTGTCCCACCCCATAGCCTCATCCCCTCTGAGAAATGCCGCCAGGATGGGGCTTGTCTCCTGCTCACTGTCTTCGACTACGACACTCTGGGTGCCAACGACCTGGAGGGAGAAGCTTTCTTCCCACTGTGCCACGTGCCGGGCCTGGATGCTGATGAGGACCGGGCTGACATGGGCTGGGTGCCCCAAACACGCCTCCCCCTCACCCACCCCAAACCTGGCGGTACGGGGGGCGGGATCTCACCCCCACAACCAACCCCACACCGTGCGTCCTTCCTACCCCACATCGCTCCCCTTTTTTCCCTCTAGGAGATGAGATCCTGCAGCTGCTGGAGTGCAGGAAGGGAGACAAGGAGGCCCAGGCCTTCGTTAAGCTTCGCAAGCAGCGAGCCAAGCAGTCCAAGGAGGCAGCATGAGGAGCAGGGGGGCCTAAATGTGGGGGTCCAGAATGGGATCCTTGCCCCCAGCACTGCCCCCCATGGGGCTCAGGAGGGTCCTGGGGTGGTTGGGGATCTCCCTGCCGACTAACACTACATTGCCTGGCCGTGTCCCCAGGGCTCTGCATGGGGCAGCAACATCAGTGCAGGGCTCCCTCCTTGGTTGTCTCTTTTTTCCTTTCATTTTAAATTAAAAGCCAGCAGGTGTGCCGGCTCAGCCTTCGTGGCAGGTGGGAGAAGGCGGTGCAGGGTAATAAAGCAGCACCTGCCACATTGTCTGCTGGGGCTCTGAGGGGTGAGGGTTTCCCTTTGCAAGGGTCACAGGCTGTAATGCACCGAGGCAGCGAGCATCCCTGCAGAGCTCCCAGCACCCAGCAGTGCTCGAAGCACAGCAGCAATAATGGGTACCACACTGAGCTGCGCCTGGGGGTCTGAAACACCAGAACCAGAGGCTGTGAGCCCAGCATCACCCAAGCCTGTGCTAAGCAGCTGCATGCTTCTGGCTCCAGAACACCCCTGGGATTCCCAGGTGTGAGAGCTGCAACACCCAGCAGGCAGCTGGCTGCTAACTGTGTATGTGCTTGGTTTTTTTTAGCTGCAATTAAACTAATTATGAACCCAGAGCTCTCCCCCAGGCAGCCCCTGCCTAGCTCATAGGGTCCCTGTTTGCAGGGGAATTAAAAGTATCACCCTCCTGCCTGTGGCTCCTCTGCAGGCAATTGAGGTCAAGCTGTCTCTGGGGGTGGAAACAAAGCTCCTTTGGTGCTGACTGCCATGGCCAGGCTTGACCGAGGGATTAAAGCAGCCATTTGCTCGCTGCAGTCACTTGCTTCTGTCCCCATGTTGGGGATGCAGCTCTGCAGAGCAGCACAGTGCAGCAGTGGGATGTGAAGAAGGGTCTCTGCTTGTGGAGGGGATGCCGTCCCATGCTGGTACTTGTGCTGGGGACACGATGCTGTCACATTACTAACAGTCCTTAATGGGGCGATTCGGATGAGTGCTGTGCTTGTAGATCAATAAGCAGTGAATGCAGCCTTAAATAAAAGCTCATTCTTGGACACTTGAAGAGAGCAATGTTATGTCCAGTGCCATAGACAGCAAAACCGTGACCACGGGGGCTCTGATCACCTCACTCCCAGCCTGAGCAACAACGTGGGGGATAAAACCCATCTGGATCTGTGGTTGTGCCACTTCCAAAGGGTCTGCCTCACCTAACCCCACCGGCTCCCCCTTATCCTAAAGAGCAGCCCCGCAGTGAGGGGGTCAATGCAGGAGGGAGCAGGGGAACAAAGCATTCCTGGTCCAGGGGAGCAACGTGCTGTGATGGCACAGACCCCCCCTCCCCCAAGCTCTGTTCCCCCCATCGATCGCCACGGAGGGGCCGTGCTGCATGCACACATGGACACACACACACACACACACACCACACACACACACACTGCTTTATTTTGCTTCTCTTTTTTGGTTTTTTTTTCTTATTTTTTTCTTAGCAAAAAAATAAAAATTTATTGTCCTCTAAAAAAAAAAAAAAAAAAAAAAAAATCCATCCTGCCCTTGGAAACTGTGACACAGATTGAGATCTTTCCAGCCCCACATGCAAGTTCATTCTGCCAAGAAAAGAGTCTAAACCAGATTTCCAACAGCCAAAACACATATTTACAGAGTACGAGAGAAACGACAGTTGAAATCACAGTTCTATACATGGAATCAACAACACGTTTACACACCATTGATCACCATTCTGCCAACTTCTACACGGACTCGGGGCGTTCCTGCCCAGCTCCATCCTCCTGGGGGTGGTGAGGAGGAGCTGGGCCACGAATCGCCACCAGAAATACTGCAGTGTGTATTATTCTTCTTATTATTTCTTTTAATGTATACTGTACTTATTTTGTTTTAACATTGAAAGCTACGGAGTGGGGAAGCCCCAGAAATCTCTCCACTGCAGTCAGTGGTTGCAGGAATACTTCACTTGGAAAGAAACACCGCGCGATACGGCAGTAACGGCGAGGCTGCTGCTGGCCATCGCTCCAAGGAGTAAAGGAAAACACTGGTGATATTCTTCCTTCTCAGATGGGGGAAAAGGAGACAGAGAGAGAGAGAGAGGAACAGCAATGGCTTACTGAGTCTGTTCGGCACGAAAGGCTGCCTCACACGCGGCTCAGGTTCAGAGCACGGAGAGCACAAAGCTTTGGGGGCTGCTCAAGGGGAGCTCCGTGCTGTGCTGCATTGCTGCCTGCCTGGGGCTGAGCTCAGGGGCCCTGAACTGCAGCTCCCCACACCTCTCAGCCCCCTCTGCAGCTACAGCTTTGTTTTCTTGGTATCTCTCTACCCAGGAGATGGTTGTCTCAAGCCATCTGCTTCTATATTGTTTCGCTATAACGAAGTAAAAGCTTATTGACCTTTAAGATACTGTGCTTTCACAACACAAGCCAGGCTCCCCTCCTCCCCCCAGCTCTCAGCTGAGAAGCATCGCCGAGGTCAACGCTTCCCCAAGGGGGAAAAAGTCCATCTCCACCAGGGAGCCTGTGTGCACGGGCAGCACCGGGCAGGGATCACATGGAGCCAGCCCTGCCGCCCTTGGTTCTGCTGGATTGCTGCACAGCTCGGAACAGGGAGCTCCTGCCTCGGCCAGAAGCTCGACAGTACGTGAGAGGGGCTGCACACCTCATAGCACCAGGTTGCTCTGTACAAAGTCTTACCACAGCACGCAGAGGATGGCTGCAGAGCTCTGAAGCCACAACGCAGTGCTGGGAGGATGGTTGATGGCCCGGGGCACCACGCTGCCTTCCCCTGTCCTGCCCTGCCTCAGGCAGCAAATGCTGCTCAGCTCACAAAGCTGACCTCCTCTTTCCCACCGGCTGCATAAGAAAATCATTCACATTTCAGATACTTTGTTTATAAAGCAGCAAACAAACTCATAGAGACCTCGATTTAAGAAGTGTTTCTCGAAGCACCGGAGGAAAGAGAAGAGCTGACAGGCTGTGCAAGGAGAGGGCTGAGCTGGGGCCACGGCAGGGCATGGGGACAGGGAAGGTAAAATGCAATGGCCACCCATAAGCTTAGATTTCTTTGGTCCTTCGGTATCAGTTTTAAAAGAGAGAAATTGTTTTACCTTTTGAAAAGGGGGGGGGGGAAACAAAACAAAACAACAGAAACACGCTTACTGTGGTCTGGAATGTTCCTTGTGCCCCTCTGTGGAAGCCCCGTGGGGACCAAGGGGAAGCATCACCTCCCCATAGATCCTACGGGCACACAGCAGGCCAGTCTCAGCTGAAGGGGACAGCATGAAGAGCAAAGCAGGCTGCTGGGCTCTGCCTCTTCGGAATATCAGAGACCTGAATCAAGGGTTTATTTCCTATTATTTAATTTAGATTAGAAAAAAATTACTTTTTAAATATATATCTTCATCAGGCTTCTTCCTTCTCCCCCCACTCCTCTCCCTCCCCTTCCTTTTTGCTCCAAAAAAAAAAGGAAAAAAAAAAAAAAAAAGAGAAATGTTCACATATTTTAATAAAAGGTCTTTCCTTAAGATCAGACCGAGGCAGATGTGCTGCCCCATGGCACAGACATTCAAAGGCTATATAACCAAACAACATAGCCACTATGTTCACCCAACAGTGTCTCTCCATTTAAAATTAAAAAAATTAAAAAACTGATGCTAGTTACAATAAAATACACATGGGGGGAAAAAAGAGCATTTTTACAAAAACAAAAACAAAAAAAACCCAACACGTTAATGGGAAAAAACAAAACAAAAGAACTACACAGAGCTGTACTTAAGAGATCATCTGGGAATGCATATTAACCCTTCCCATACGAAGGAAAGGTGGAATTACAGAAGCAAACCTAATTATGTCTTTGTGTTAAAATAGGAAGCTTTCTGAGAGGCTCTGGTAATGATTTGGGTGCTCCTACAACAACAGTGGGCTGCTGGAGGTTCCAGTGCTTTCCCAAGGGCTGGGAGGGGCAGCGCAGGCAGCATCCCTGCACAAAGCAACAGTACTGAGAGAACGGAGCAGCCTTCTGGTTGAGATCCCAGCAGGTTACTGCAATCCACCCGAGGGGAAAACCCAATGGATGCGCTGGTAAAGGATGTCATGGGAAAGCTCAGCTGCTGGCAGGTCTAAGCTGGAGGCATTTCTTTTCCCTATAAAGAAGCGTGGCTCGTGTTGGACTGGTCTGAGGGATTTCCTCCTTTGCCTTTTCTGAAATGATCTGAGAGATTAAATTCAAACACAAAGAGGATCCTAACGAGGAGAAAGTCCCTGAGCTCTTTTTGCAGGTGGTGTTTGGGGACAACGGCCCGAAACAAACTCAGCAGGTCAGAGACACCAGTGAGAGCTACAGGAGGGCGGTGGAAAGGCCTGTGCTCAGGAATGGAGGCTGAGATGGGAGGAAGGAGAGCGAGAGGGCTGTGGAGCCCTGCAGTCACGTCCCTCCGATGGAGATGCTTCCTTCTGCTCTGAGCTGGCTGGTTCAGCACCCCAGCCTGCACACAGCCACACACAGCAACCTCCACACTGCTACCAATCACAGCACCACAGAGAGCGGCTCGTGAGTTCTGAACACTTAAATGAGAATTTGAATTAAAGTCCTCTTCCTTTCTAGCTCCCTCCTCTCTGTAACATTACTAACACGAAAAACAGGGCATCACGAGACCAACCAGCTTTAGAGTTTCCCCACCAACAACACTTTCATATGCACATACAAACAGTGGCTGTGTTCATAAGCTTCAGTGGTAACACGCACTGTGTTTTGTGCCACAGTGATGAGCAGGAAGAAGCATCCCCACCTAGGAGCAGCAGAAAGCAAGGAATGTACGTTCCTCTCCAGCTCCAGCCTCCAGCTGCGATTGATTTATCAGCAGTTGGTTCCATGCAGGGCTCTCTCTCACCACAGGCTGGCATGAGGCTTCTGGATTTAGCAGCCCACGGTTCACCCCTGAGCTGCTGAAACAGGGAATGCCAACTCTGTCCAAACAGTTAAAAAAGAGTCCTTAGACTGTGTCTGGAATTGTTTCACGTGATCCAGCAGTGACTACAAAAGAGGTCTCTGTGGCTAAAAGAAAACCAATCTGGTCTGAAGCGGTACAAATTCTTCAGGC